TCAGAGTAGAACTGTGTTCCATAGGGTTTTCAATGGCTGTGATCTTTCAGACGTCGATCACTCGGTCTTTTTTGAACAGCCAACTTTCAGTTAGTAGCTGAGTGCTTAACCTGTTTGTGCCACCCAGGGACTCCTAAAAAGGGGGACTCTTGAAAGAAAAAGGAGAGTGGGGAGTATCAATGGCAAATCTTCACCATGACTTTCACTCTTCCAAATAACTGGAACTAATATATCTCAGTTAACATCCACCTTACTGTTACAGCCAACACTGCACACCCGTTGGTTCCTAATAATATCCACGTCAGCATTTTTTGTCGTTATTTGAATTCGGTCATTAATAACAGCCTCCGTAGAAACAGAAATGAAACCAAGAATTGAATCTTTATATTCACGATGCAAGTAAGATTACTTTGCCAAGTGCTCCAGCCAAGTGTCGACAGGGACTTAAACCAGAATTCACAGAGGGAATGAATTTTTTGACAAGTGTTGGATTTCAGTATACCATGCTTTCAGGCAAAGTGGAATAAGAGGAGTTGTGCTTGGCATTAAACCAACTGCCTCTCATCCAGTGGCAGGTCTTTGTTCCTATCACTAGTGACTCATTGGGTTACCCCCAATTAAATCCTTTCACCATGGGGGTTTCAGTTTTTCCATTCACCCCAGATAATCCCTTTAAATGATCCGAAGTCTCTAGATTTCTGTGGAATTTGGTCTTCATATGATATGCAATCTATGGCCTCATTATTCCAGCTCTCACTACAGTTACAGCCATAAAAAGCTTCCATTGTATTCTCAGAACTAGCCCTTGAAGCACTGGTAGCTGCTGTGAGAGCGCAGGCAAACATGACTCTTTCAGTAATCGAAAAGCTCAGCCAAGATTTACTGCAATTTGAAGCAGGATTCAGGGCTCCCCTGCAATGACTAAACTGCCAGACTTACATAAGGCTGTTTCAAAATATGTTTCATATGGATCTTGCTTTTCAATACGACGCAATGCTGGGAAAGGGAGGCAATTGTACAACCAGCACAAAATGTCTTATTCCAGTTTGACCCATGATTCTCATCTCCTGGAATTCCGTGCACTCTCTAAATGACACTGTCACTGTCTCTTGACTAAGGAAGGCTCATGAACTGCAGTTTGACCTGAGCTAGATTGAGTCCCCTTCCCACGTGTCAGGTCCCTGGGTGGTGCAAACAGCTTGTGCTCAACTACTAATCAAAAGGTTGGCAGTTCGAACCTACCCAGCTGCACTAAGGAAGAAAGGCCGGTCGATCTGCTTCCAGAAAGATTACAGCCAAGAAAACCCTATGGAGCAGGTCTACTCTGTAACACACGGGGTCTCGATGAGTCAGAATCAATTTGATGGCACGGATTTGGTTTGGTTTTCCCTCTGTCACAGCTGCCTCTCTTTAGCAAGGTTTCTCTTGCTCCCCGCTATCCTGGGATGCACATCTTTTTCGTTACTTGGTATAAGCACTGGAGTTCCCAGGGTGGTGTATACAGTTAACATGCTCAGCTGCTAACTAAAAGGTTGGAAGTTTGATTCCACTCAGAGGCACTTGGGAAGAAAGGCCTGGTGATCTGCTTTTGAAAAATCAACCACTGAAAACCTGTGTAGAAGAGTTCTACTCTGACACACATGGAGTTGCCATGTGTCGGAATCGACTTGACGGCAACTGGCTTGGCATAATCAACACAGGCTGCAGGCACAGTCCCACAGATAGTATCTCATTCCAAGAGGTCATGTGCGCCCACTGCACGCAGTTCGTGACATAAGAATGCTGGCAACACAGTCAAAACAGCACGTAAGTCATGAACTCTCCAGAACACTACACATAATGAGAATTTCCCTTTCCTCTAATAAAACATATTTTTTCTCCTGCGTGTCCGCCAGATGTTAATAAACATTCCTTCTGCTTTGCAGAGCTCTGTCCATCTTGATAAGGTCTGTAGCAGAAATTAAAGTCCTTTGCAAGGCTTTTGGGCACTCTGTATCTCCTTGGTTTCCTTTCATCCCACAAACCTCCTTAAATGTTATCTCCTCTTTCACACAAGGAGTTTCTCCTTTTCACCCTCCGCTCTTCTAGCCTTTCCTTCCAATACACCGCCAAGAAAATTCTTACTGGTCTTGCCAATATGCTAAGTACTAGAAAAGGGAAAGCTAGGTTGACAACCAAATGGAGCCTAAGTACCCATCTTCACAGAGACCATGACTCTAGCTGGGGGGTGGGGGGGCAGAGGGGCTGGAATTAATGAGCCCAGTAGTAGAAGAATTATGGTAAATAGAGATAGGAAACAAAACTATGGACTGCAGGCCACTCCTGCATCTGGCTGCTATTACCTTGTCATAAATATTGGCAGGCACAATGGCAAAGAGGCTACCTCGTGCCAGAGGGAAGTGGTAGCTGTGAATATAGTCTTCTGAGCTTGTTCTGTCTTTTCAGGTTACTCTTCCTTATTGCATTCCTAGCTCATCAAACCAAGGAACAAGATGAGAGGCAGAGAAGGATCAATGCAAGTTAGTAGGAACAGAGTCTCTGGGTGGTACAAACGGTTAACACGCTTGACTGCTACCCGAAAGGCTGGAGGTTCGAGTACACACAGAGTCACCAGGAAAGAAAGGCCTGGTGATCTACTTTCAAAAAAATCAGATATTGAATACCCTATGGGCACAGTTCTACTCTGACGCACACGGGGTCGCCATGAGTCAGAGTCAACTCCATGGCAACTGGTGTATCAGGACACAGAACAGGTCAGAGCCAGACAGAGATAAGAGAGCAGGCAAAATCAGTTTACAAAGGAATGCAAGGTGAGAGTGGTCTGAGGATGAAAATTCTACATAGGATGTTCTTTTACACACTTCATCTTCTTTTATCATCACAACAAGCCCAGGAAGCTTCCTGAGGGTGGAACCAAAGTCCATCTGGCTCCCAAGCCCACGCTCGGCCCAGGGTCCTTGTTTGGTCAAATGCCTGCAGTCTATGTGCGAGGCAGGGGGCAGGATATCCACAGGCCTGGGCTCTGAGACTGTAAATCTTGTGGAGTATTTCCTGGAAGGAATGGTCTAATGGTTAAGACTTAACAGTGTGGGCTTTGGAGTAAAACAAGTCCAGTTCCAATCTCAGCTCTGCCACTTAATGGTTATGCAGACTTTGGGCAAATTGCTTAAGCTTCTTAAGCTTCAATTTCTCAGCTCCAAAGTGGAGTTGTGAGGTTTAAATGGCAGAACACATTTCAAATACTTAGCCTTGAGCCTAGCATGTAGTAAGCACTCAGTAAATGCTGTCGTTGTTATTCTGATGTTATTATTACACTACTAGCTTGACTATTCATTGTTTGGGTACTGGCAGCTGAAAGCTTTGCAAAAAAAAAGGGGACAAATACCAGGAGGTTTGAAGTTGGAAAAAAAATGCCAATATTGTTTTAAAACCACCAGAGCCATCTTGGGACTGTGACCACTACTGGCTCTCTAAGTCTCCTTTTGCCAAAAAAGTGCCACCCACCACCCCACCCGTCCTCGTCTCGCAAACCCTTACTGAGGAGAGGAAATTCATTTCTAATTCAAAACTTGAGATACATAGCTTGACGAATATACTAAAGTATATTTAAAAGGTTAATTGTAAAGAATATTTTAATCTGATTCTAGTTTGGCTGTTTTAGGGAGGAGGCCAATGGGGCACTTGTGCTTAAGAGAGCTGAAAAACTCACTGCTGTGGAATGGATTCTGGCTCATAGCGACCCTATAGGACAAAGTAGAACTGCCCCATAGGGTATCCAAGGCTATAATCTTTACGGAAGCAGACTGCCACATCTTTCTCCTGCAGAGTGGCTGGTTTGTGGATTCAAACCACCGACCTTCTGGTCCTTAGAGGGCATTAACATATAAGCGCCCTAACACCCCTCCCTCCACAACTCACGCACCTCCATTGCCCAGATGGCTTACATCGTTATGTGAAGACAATGCAGTTACCAAGAAAATAGCACACTGGGGGAACAACGAGGTTTATCTTGGAGTGAACTAATTTTCATGACATCTGAAAAAGACACACCTAAGGAGGCCTTAGCAGGGCACGGCAAGGTGGGTAATGGACTAGAATTGATTTCTCAACTGAAATGCTACCCGAATGCGATGCCACCCACATGCTTGATGTGCAGAAATGGAGAAGGGGAAACCGGGCAACTGTGGGGGATAGGGGATTGTTCTGATTCCTAATTTTATCCAAGACTGGCCTTGCCATGGGAAACTCAGGGCTGCAGGGCAGCAGGCTCGGACAGACTACCCAATAAGCAAGGTACGCACGGGCTTACTTGTGCTTATTTACTAATCCGTAGTGCACAACTTCACCTGTGAAATTTCGGATTAGTAAATAAACACAAATAAGCCCGTGCGTACCTTGCTTACTGGTTAATCCGCAGCAGGGAATGTCACCTCAGGCCTGCATCCCACCCAGCCTGGGGTTGGGGCAGGCAGGAAGGCTGTGGATAGAACCAGGGCGGTTACTACTTGTGTCGAAGCTCGTGCTGTGGCCAGGTCTTGGGCTCTCCCTCAGCGCTCACCACGTGTGCAGCCCAAGCTTCTCTACTCGGCTGCGCAGCTTGCGGTCCTGGGCGCCAGGGTGGTTTTCAGGGTTTTCTTTCTCTATGATTTCCCTTCTTGTTCTCCACAGTCGATGATTTTCTGCAGAAAAGTCTGAGAAAAAGAACCTATTTCATTTCCAGTTCCCATCACCGCGATTTCCACATGGATGTGACGTTGGGCCTAGCTTCCGAAATGCCCAGGTGACTCACGCGGGGACACCCCGGGGCGGGGCGCAGGAGTTTCTCAGCGCGGCCGGCGGGGCGGGGCGGCCGGCAGGCCCGACAGCGGCTGTGCGCTCGCCTCCTGCGCCCCCTGGCGGCGGGCGGCGCTCAGGCCGCGGGCTCCCGGCGCCGGGCCTGGCGTCAAGTCACTGGAAAGTCCCTCGTGGAAATCCCCCGCTATCCGCAAGCCTAAAACAGAAAGGCAAAAAACAGAACTTAGCAGTCTGCAGCGTTCGCGGCGGGCCAAGTGCAGCAAGCTCTGAGCCCGCGGGGGCGGAGCGGTGTGAGCGACCGCCAGGAGATCAGCGGCAGCTGGCCGGCGAGCGATCCTGAGCCTGCCGTCTATGGGCGGCTGGCTCACCCTCACCTCAGCCCGCTTGCCCTGACTGGGACTTGGGACTTCTGGAGAGGACCGCACGGCCCGGAGAGGTAACCGCCGCGCCTCCCTGTGCCGTCCGGCACGAGCTCATCTGGGGCAAGGGCTGTGGGTGCGTCTTTGGCAGCGACTCTGGAGCTTACTCCGTCTGCTTGGCATTGGTTTTGCAGTAGTCCTCGAGGGGAGTTTATTGGCCGTTTGTGCCCATTCTAGGTTTTGAAATGCTAGGACTTGAGGTTGCCGAGCCAGATGTTGGGGTGACAGCCCTGGATTCCTCCATCCAGCTGATCTTTTCTGATAATGCAGACAACTTGAACTGCAGCTGACTGGTGAAGAGTCATTCCTGGGCCTCTTTGTTGAGTGGGGGTCATTGGTGCTTTGCTCCGTTTTGTGTCTTTTTTGGAATTTAGCGCTGCATGCTCAGGGCCACGTAGAACCGCTGTGGCTTCTGCCCAGATTATGCAGAACCAGCCCAGCGGGGGCAGTGCGTCGCAGGGGCTACAAAACCCTGCCTGGGTGAGGGGCTTCAGTCAGCTAACCTTTCCAGGGACAGCTTCCAGACAGTGTCCTGTGCAGGAGAGGTGGGGTGGATGGGTTCTTCTTTTAAAGTTGCAGCAGCGTAAGAAGTTTGCAGCGAAAAGTGGGTTGCCCGCCTGCGTTTTGGGGGCCCCAGTTTAGAAGCCATCTGCAAGCCGCCGCTCCAGTCCCTACCCCACAGCCAGACTGTCAGTCAGCCCAGGTCGCCCCACATCCTGCCACCTGGCCTCTCAGGAAAGCAGTGGTATTAAGTAAGGAAGGAGCTCAGCTCTTTTTGAGACTGCTTTGTTTTCAGTTCTCTCTGTCTCTGATCATCTTTCCTTGGAAAGCTGGTCTGGTCAAGTGTCTAGGGGTAGCATTTTAGGAGAACTATTATTTAGTTGGCGTAGTAGTTAAGTGCTACGGCTGCTAACCAAAAGGTCAGCAGTTCGAGTCCACCGGGCGCTGCTTGGAAACTCTTTGGGGCAGCTCTGCTCTGTCCTGTAGGGTCACTCTGAGTGGGAGTCGCCTCGACGGCAAGGGATTTGGTTTTATTCTTAATTAGTTTAAGAGTCTGCTGGACTGCAACTCTGAATGCCCCCGATTATTGAGCAGCCCAGCTAGTGCGCCCTTCTCATTGTCTAAGGTGCTTCTTTGGGTTTTGCAGTTCTTTCTGCAGTGTTCAAATTTTTTGACGGGTACTTTCCAAAAATCTGATGAGATATTTGCTGATAAATAATTCATAAATTTCCACACTGCAGACAAAAATGCCTGCCTAGAGTGGAAAAATAAAACCAGGGGGGAAAGACTTTGAGTGATAATAAGTCCTGTCGAATCCCATTGCCCGTAGTTACAAAAATTGGGAAATTATTTTCAAATAAATCCAAGTGAGGTCACAGAAATGTAAAAAAAAAAAAAAAAAAGTTAAGGGTAATGTTGTATTCCTTTGACCTATAAGGACATTACAATGATATGTCAAAAAAAAGTTTATTCTTTAATCTTAAGTGTGGAGAATTCCACGAGCTGGGAATTTGGGCGGTATATTTTCCTTTCTTTTAAGGAGGTGATTTTGCAGCCTGTGAGAGACGAAACCTATGAATGAGATAATATAGGGCCATCAGATATTCATATTTACATGTCTTGCAATAGTTTACAGCGGTCACTGTTTTAGATGTTTGCTGAAAGATCTTTAGGTCCAGAAAAGAAAAATAGAATTCTGAGTCGAAAGAGCAAAAAGAGACAATACCTAGCTTGTTTAAAATCTTACTACTTACTGCTTGCCTGTTTCCATGGAGAGCAGCAGGCACTGCAACCACAGGTGTGGTGTTACAGGACAAGCAAGAGGCAAGCATTGGAAGACCTAGATTCTAGGCAAGGCTCTGCCCTGGGTAGCTGTAGGACCTTGAGCAGGTCCCTCTACTTCTGTACCTTAGCTGCAGACTAAGGTGGTTGTGTGATTTCAAAGAGGGGAATAAGGTCGTATTTGATTTTTGGCCCCTGTGTCAAGCACAGTGCTGCCTTTAGTAGGTACTCAGGTAGGGGTTGTTAGATGGATGAATGAATGAATGACCTTGTGAAAGAGACTTCTGACATGCCTCAAGGAGAATGTGTGCGTGGTATTTTTGTCCCTCGATTGCGTCTGTGGTCGTGCAGTTACTCTGCCCAGTTCACCTGCAGGGGATTGCTTACATCACAGGAGCGGTCATTGTCTGACCAAGATAATGACTTGTCCAGAGCCCACTTAACAATCAGATTAAGAATCCGAATCCAAAAATACCACCAGAAAGCAACCTGAGAAGCAACCTCTGTCTAGTCTAACCTCTCTCCTTTGAGTGAGCCATAAGAATTTAGAACACCTTTTTGATAGCTTTAAGGAGCTTGCACCCATCCAGGAATGGCCTCCTTAAAATCTACCTAAAATCTTCTTTTCCCCCTTACATGACTCTAAAGTCTTTCACAACCGGAGGCTTGTCCTTGCAAATAGTATAGGGCAGGAATGGGATGAAGAGTTGCCGTGAAACTTCCTAGGAAATATCTTCGTGCTCTAAAGTCATTTTCATCATCTTCTTGGAAATTAGGATGTGTGGCGAGGCACTCTGGCCCTCCCCCCAGCACACTACTGGAAAGATCCCATGTTTCATTGATTCACATTATTCCACTCTATTGGCATAGTTGTAGATGCTGGTCTTTGCCCCTATTCCTCTTTCACTTGTCTTCAGTGGCCCCCTGGCTGAAAGTTATTTCCTTGTCTGCTTCCAAACTTTTCATCTCTTCCTACTAGTTTGGAGAGTTTAAGGTGAAGGAAAGAATGGTAAATGCATCTTGAGTGTTGGTACCTGGAGGACGATGATGAAATTTGGTTGGCCATCAAATTGAAATAATTGAGCTGCCATGTCTGCTTTTGGGAGTGCGGAATGTATTTATTCGATTATTATTGTTGGTCGGTTTATTAGTCTAGTGTCGTAAAGTTCAGTGGAGAGGTTCTGAAGGACTGCTGACCATTCTTACAGATGGCGGTGCAGCTTGCTGGAAATAGGCTTTTTTATTGATTATAAAACATTCCGTTTTAATTCTTTATCGATGTTTCTGTTTGGGGCTAAAAAGGAAATATCAGTAGCAGCCTAGGTGACAGCATACAATGCAGGATTTTTCACAAACTATTTAGTGTCCTTCCAGTAGAGAGAGGGAGTGTTTACAAGAGATGAATCAAGACTTTGTCCAAGAGCAAGGATTGCTTGGTGGTGGTCTCAGGCGAGGAGGTACAGACTTGTCCGGGCTACATTGTGCCTATAACTGGCATTCAGGACTCCTCAGATCCAGGCGCTGCCTAAGAGTGGCATCTGAATGAATTGGAGCTTAAGTCGATTAGGAGGCACAATACCTGTCGCTGACAGACAGGCTTGGCTCCCTGACAAACATTACTGAAAACATGGGTTATTCCCCTCCTCCTCAGTACCCACTCTCCGCCTTCCTTCTCTTGTTTAGACTAATCTTTAAAAGTGATGTAACTTAAAACAGTCCAGTGTGAGTTAATCTTTGGGGCCAGCTAGTATCCTGGAGTAGAGGTGACTAAGATCTTTTGCCTACAAGATTAGGGTAATGACAAGATCAAACACTGGGGTTTCCTGCAGGCAGGTATATAGGAGTCGTATCAAAGCCAGGCTAACGGAATGGGTTTTTTCCCTTCTTCTTTAGGTTTTGTGGAGCACAATGGCTGAACAACTCCTTCCTCTGGCTTTGTATTTGAGCAATATGCGGAAAGCTGTGAAGATAAGAGAGCGAACTCCAGAAGATATTTTTAAACCTACCAATGGGATAATTCATCATTTTAAAACCATGCACCGATACACCCTGGAAATGTTCAGAACTTGCCAGTTTTGTCCACAGTTTCGAGAGATTATCCACAAAGCTCTCATCGACAGAAACATCCAGGCATCCCTGGAAAGCCAGAGGAAGCTCAACTGGTGTCGGGAAGTCCGGAAGCTTGTGGCTCTAAAGACCAATGGTAAGAAGGGCTCTGTCCCACTTCTTCTGTCGGGGGATGGGTCCCAACGTGCCTGGTCTCCATTAATTAAATTTTGATAGCACTAGCCCAAATTCAAATTTCTTTGAGGCCGTAGATGCCTTGGTATAGAAACTTGGCAAGGGGCACGCATAATAAAAGCAACTTTGTTTTGTGAATATTTTTATTAAGGATATTTTTGAATAGTGTGTGTTAGAAAGCAGAGCACACTGGGACCTGGAGAATGTATTTCTAAGCACCATGCCCCAGTTAGATCATTTGTGTATCTCATTCTTATGACTGCTTAATCATCTGTAACATACTCTTCCCTACCCAGTAATGGAAATATTAAAAGGCTTTAAGTTCAAAAGGAGAGCATGGTGTGAAAACTGGATATAACTATGGTTTCCCATTATAATTGGAAAATGCTTGTGATGGCCCTATACCTCTTGAATTGATGGCATTTTATGGGTTACCCAGTGAATGGCTACTGGGGACAAGGGGGCTCCTTTTGTCGCCTCCCCACTTACGTAGGTTCTATTGCCTATGGCCCCATAATATGAAATAGAAAAAAAAAAAAGTGAGATTTTTAGTATAGATTTTAGACCTCTACTTCATTGTTTTTAGTGATTCCTGGTTATTTTTTCTTGTCTGTATCTACTCATCCAGTGTGCCTTACCACTAGCAGCTATTTTCTGTCCTACACTTTACTGTGTTGTTTTTTAATTATTTCTTTTGAACAAGAGTATGTACATCAACAGAAACAGCTAAGCATATTGTTTAGTGCAGAGAGAAAATTCTACTTTATAGATGTAGATAATTATTACAAGTAGTAAGTAGACTCTACAAGATCAATTAAATGCTTATAGTCTAGGTAAGAGCAGGAATCTCAGGTTTTTAGATCAATGACATTCCTAAACTATCTCATTCAAAATACTACATCCAAGAGCAGAAAACCCTTGTTGACAATGATTATGATAAGAACATTAACATAATTAACTTAATTGGTGCAATAACTTTGGTCATTTTGGACTTGGGTGACTTGGAGTGATAGTGATTGGTGAATGCACTTTTTTTTTTTTTTGCTGTGGTTTTGGGATATTGTGCATCATTGCAACACCTTGCCTGTATGTATGAAGCATAGACTCTTAGGACTTTGGCAGAGAAAAGCTGGGGATAGCTCGTGTGTACATTGCTTGTGGCATTAAATCAAGTAATGCATAGAAGTTGCTAATAATATGAGGTCATCATCCACGGGTTTTATATGCCCAACAGTTTATGGTTTAATGTTCCCAGTTTGTTACAAAAAAGAGTTAGAGTCCACTTTGAACATCAAGTTGGGAACAATGGTATTCTGCAGAGTTAGAAATGTGGCAGAAAAGGGGAAAACTTTATCATTAACAGTATTAACTGACATTATTAGGTTTAATGTGCTCTATTTCCTTAAGAAAAAAGTGGAGTAAAAATAGTAAACACCCATTTTTCAAAGATATACCACTTAAATCAACAAAGATTCACAGCACAAATGAAACTACAAAAGCAAATGCATTTTTATACCATTTTCTGGGAAATTGGGATATTTACATTCAGAATTCTTTTATTTCCCCACTTCCAACAAAATTCCTTAAAATTCTGAAAAAGAAAGAAAAGATATTTAGAGGAGAGGGGAAAACAAATGGGACTTTTCTTCCCAATTTGTATTAGCACCCCCTTTTGTATTTAACCTTCCCCCTATAGGAGGGTTCTACAAAGTCAATGGGCTGTTTGGGGAGGGGGTGATTCACAAGTCTGCATTTGAGGATATGAGACTGCGGTGAATGAGGAAGGGAGTAGGTGGCATAAAATTGAAACTTCATGTGAAAAATTCCAGCGTCTATTGGCTGCAGCATTTCACTTGTATAATGAGTAGCCCTATTCCAGCTCACCCTGACCACACCCACTTGGAAAGTCCAGGGTGCACCTCGCAGTTTAAATGTCTACACACCAGAACAAAAAGTACAATAGCTGTTGCTCAATTGCTAGTCAAATAACTTAGCACTGGGGAATTCCAGATGTTACTTAGGGAATTTTATACTGGTGCATCTCAATAAAGAACTGAAAGTAAGCACAAGAAGAAGAAAAAAAGCCTTATCTTTGCTCTAGATTTTGCAAAGGGGAAATTTCAACAGAATGCAATAGTTACCACACTTCTGCCAAGACACAAGGCTTAAGCGATCCTTTTTGTTTATTTGTTTGAGTTCTTGTTTAGTTAAGCTTTCTGAGTGTGTAAATTGAAGGGGTACTGGCTGTGGACATATTTGAGGTTTTGGGGGGTTTTGTTACAGCTTAATTATAAATAAAATTTCATAAAAGTTCAAATAGCTTTATTACCATAGAGTACTGTGAGAAAACTGTGTAATTTTCTCTTTATAAAAAAGAATTTTGCACTTGCCAAAGGAGTTAACTTTCCTGTAAGGAGTTAACTTTTCTGTGTCAAGCAGTCCCCCAAATATTTATTGTTAGGGGGTTGAAAAAAAACATGTCTTTATTAAATTGCAAGTTTTAACCTGGAAAAATCACAAATTAATGGAATAATATTAGTTCTGTTTTTTTTTTTTTCCTCAAAATGCTCAAAATTTCAGTCTTCAACGCTGAATTATTTTCAAATTTTAGACAGCCAGGCACTGTGTAACTTTTAAAAAGGACTTTACAATTGCTAGCAAGCAGATTCACAGAAAGCATTTCTGGGGGGTGGAGGTGGGCGGTAAAGTAATTTGGTAGTGTCAACCCCACTTTATAAGCCAGGAGAGGAAACTCCCAGGCCCTGCAGGCTCAGGTAGAATGGTCAAGTCATTTACCACTGAGTCATAGCCAGCGTCTAGTAACCCGAGCCGTGCCTACTTCCTGGTTTGTGCAGGCTGCCCTATGTACCCCCTCTTAGAGAGCGATAGTGTCTGGATCTTAGCCAGAAGTTCAAGGAATGGTGGAAAGGGACAGGACTGTAGAGGTCATTATCCACTGGCCTCGTTTTACAAAGAGGAAAAACACCCAAAGGTTAAGGGATTTCCCCCAAGGTCACCTAAACTAGTTAGTGGCAGCGCCAAACTGAAACCAAGGTCCCCTGATTACCCATCCCTGCCTCCTTTGCTCTGTCCTTCCCAGTCTTTAAAAATAAGAGGAAAAGATTTTTTTTTCCCTTAAAACTGTTGCCTGCTTGTGAAATGTTATCAGTTGGCTATTTGACTAAGAAATTAATTAAATTTGCATTGCATAGCATGCCCTCTTTATTCCCCTATGATAGCCGTGATGTTGTTAGTTTCCATCTAGTCCCCGTCAACCCATGGAGACCCCATAGATGAACGAAACATTGCCCTGTCCTGTCGCATCTTCACAATCATGGGCATGCTGGAGTTCACTGTTGGACCACTGTGTATTTTGAGTGCCTTCCAACCTGGGGGACTCATCTTCCAGCACTATATTGGACAGTATTCCCTTGTGGTCCAAAGGATTTTCATTGGTTAATTTTTGGAAGTAGATCGCCAGGCCTTTCTTCCTAGTGTGTCTTAGTCTGGAAGCTCCACTGAAACCTGTCCACCGTGGGTGACCCTGCTGGCATTTGAAATACCACTAGCATGGCTTCTAGCATCACAGCAACGTACGAGCCACCATAGTGGGACAAACTAACAGAAGGGTGGATGATAGCAGTAGGGCTTGTGTACTCTGAAAACATTTGTTAGGCCTTATATGCAATGCCTCTGATTGCTCTTTTTTCCCTCTGTCCTCAGGAGATGGGAACTGCCTGATGCATGCTGCTTCTCAGTACATGTGGGGAGTTCAGGACACAGACTTGGTGCTGAGGAAGGCGCTCTTCAGCACTCTCAAGGAGACTGACACACGCAACTTCAAATTCCGCTGGCAACTGGAGTCTCTTAAATCTCAGGAATTTGTGGAAACAGGGCTTTGCTATGACACTCGGGTATGTTTTGTTCCCCCTTTAAGCCTCTACTGGCTGAGCTCCATGGTGGATAAAGGGAAACTTAGGCCCAGTCCCTGCCTTCAAGGAGCTTACAATTTACAAGGTCACGTGAATCTGGTTAAGCAAAGTGTACTCAGTAGAAAACACCAGGAAATCTCCTGTGGGATTAACCTGGGGTATTTGTTGTTGCTCAGAGGCTTGCAGGCAGTAGATCCCTTCACTTGAGCCTACAGGCTTATTATGATCAGGGTCTTTTCCTATGGAGTTCCTGTTGGTTTTTGTTTTAATTGCCCTTAACATGCTTTACTGAGCCAACAAATAACATTCAGCCACGTGTTCACTATTCTCAGTCACAAGTTTGGAATTTTTGTGTACATTTGGATGAGGGGCTTCTGTTTTATGCCTCATCAGGGTTTTTTTTTTTTTTTTAAAGGAGGTGCTGTCCCCATCCTCCCCCACTTTTGAGTTTGCCTTGTAGTGGAAAAAAGCAAAGGAAGAAAACCCAAATGGGGAAAAAGAGTGATCATTTCAATGATTATTTCAAGAAAGGGAAAAAATAAGCTGAGTTATATAAATGAATAATTCTAGTGTGAAGTCAGAATGATATTTTAATGCAAAGTACACTCAGTCAGTTTTTTTTCTTCATCCCCTCAGAACTGGAATGATGAATGGGACAACCTTGTCAAAATGGCATCCACAGACACTCCAGGGGCCCGAGGTGGATTTCAGTATCACTCACTGGAAGAAATACACATATTTGTCCTGTGTAACATTCTCAGAAGGCCAATCATTGTCATTTCAGGTGAGATGCCTGCAGATTGCTTATTTGTATTTAAGTGCTTTTCAGTGTTAATGCTTTGGCTCTTAGGAAAGAGCCACACCACCAAAGCTACAGATAACAGTAAACAAAAAACAAAAAGAAAAAAACCCACTGCCGTCAAGTCGATTCCTACTCATAGCGACCCTATAGGACAGGGTAGAACTGCCCACAGGATTTCCAAGCAGCGGCTGGTGGGTTCAAACTGCTGACCTTTTGGTTAGCAGCCGAGCACTTAACAACTGTGCCACCAGGGTAACAGTAGCTAAATGGAATTTGATGAAAGTCACCCGAGGGCCTTATTTTTCTTTCTCTTTCCTTAAACAGACAAAATGCTGAGGAGTTTGGAATCCGGTTCAAATTTTGCTCCTTTGAAGGTGGGCGGAATTTACCTGCCTCTCCATTGGCCTGCCCAGGAATGCTACAGATACCCCATCGTTCTTGGCTATGACAGCCAACATTTTGTACCCCTGGTGACCCTCAAGGACAGCGGGCCTGGTGAGAAAACAGCATCCATTCCCGTTTGTAACTTCTGTTAGATACTGGTATATCCTGTTCTCACTAAACATCAGGGTTTGGTCCTTTGCTTCTTATAGAAGCAATTTTATTTAAGTATGTTACTTTTATTTAAATCTATTGTTCTCTTATTTGCTTGGTTAGTAACAATAATTCAAGAGCAGTAATCATAATATTCCCTTATCTTTTTGTGCCTTATGTTATTGTTCAGGAAGTACTTTCAGTTGACATATTTGTAGCAAGTGAGAGATATGTATATTACTATTACTGTCATGGAGTCCCTGGGTGGTGCAAACAGTTAACATGCTCAGCTGCTAACCAAAGGTTTGGAGGTTCGAGTCCACCCAGAGGTGCCCCAGAAAAAAGGCCTGGCAATCTACTTCTGAAAAATCAACCACTGAAAACCCTGTGGAGCACAGTTCTACTCTGACACACATGGGGTCGCCATGAGCCGGAATCAACTCGATGGCAGCTAACAACTACTACTGTTACTATTAATACGTAATAAATTAAGGCATACGGAGCCCTTAAGACAGTGCCTTAATACAGCAGGTAAATGTTATCAGTGTTAGCTATTGTTGTAGTAGTAAGCTTAATCTGGAGTAGGCACTGTGCTAAGTGCGTTATATACGTGATTTTACTTCATTTCATTCACACAGCATGCCTATGAGGCATAGGCAGTGTTAGCCTTGTTTTATAGATGAAGCAGTTGAAGTTCAGAGAGATTAAATAACTTGCCTAGTGTCACGTCGCTTGATAGTGACAAAGCTAAGAATCGACCTCAGGTCAGTCTAATTCTGAAGGATGGGAATTTAAGTAGCAAGATCCACGGTCTGGAGTCTGCTTAATATCCTATGAGATTCCTGGAAATAGTGCATTTTATATTAGAGTTTAGCACGTTGTGTTTTCCCGCTTAGATATAATTATGGCTAGGAAATGGAGAATACTTTTCCATTCTTTAATTGTATCCTTTGTACATTTTCAAAATTTAATCATTATATGTATGACCTCACCTGTAACCTCATTTGGTACAATAATATTTTGCTTACATGTTCTTTTTCCCTCAGAAATCCGAGCCGTTCCACTTGTTAACAGAGACCGAGGACGATTTGAAGACTTAAAAGTCCACTTCTTGACAGATCCTGAAAATGAGATGAAGGAAAAGCTATTAAAAGAGTACTTGATGGTGATAGAAATCCCCGTCCAAGGCTGGGACCTTGGCACCACACATTTGATTAATGCTGCAAAGTAAGCCATTGATTGTTTGCTAGATTCTTCTTAACCTTTCACTATTTTTATAACTTCAACCAAATGCTCTGCTGCCACTCCTCAGCTCAACAGCAACGTTATTTAAAGCTGGTTTCCTCCAATGTGAAACAAATTCAGCGTCATTTGCATGCCTCAGAGAGGATGACTTTAGGCAATACTGCCTTCTGTTTCGACTGGGAACGAGTAATTTGTCCATGGATTTTTCTGGATTTCAGGATACTGAGAGTCAGAATCGTGGGTTTTAAATGTGTGCCTCCACCAAGGGTAGCTTGGTTTTTTAAATTGCCCTAGTACATTATAAAAAAGGCTACCAGTTGCTGTCAAGTCAATTCTGACTCATGACGACCCCATGTGTTGCAGAGTAGAACAGCGTTTCCTTGGGTTTTCAAGGCTTTGAGCTTTCAGGAGCAGATCACCAGGCTTTTCTTCCGAGGCACCTCTGGGTGGATCAAACCACCAGCCTTTTGGTTAGTAGTTAAGTGCTTAACTGTGCCACCCAGGGACTCCAGTAGGAAGACTAGCAAGTGAAAACTCTTGGAAACAAAAGCCTTTTCCCTTAGCTTCTTGGTAAGGCTGGCCATGTCAGACACAGACTGTTGTAAAATGTGTTAGATGGCCGGACATGATTTTTGCTACATGGAAATGGGGAGACAGGCCCAGAGTGTACATTGTACAAGTATCCAAGTTTTAAACACTAAATTTATGTTGAGGAGATGCCTATTTCTTAGAACTGGAAATGTAGCACAAAAGATGGCAGTGAGAGGATAAGAGAATTGTCCCATGCAGTTTCTTAAAGTGGAGATTCACAAATTATAGGGAGTCAAAAGTAAACATATAGTGCCTATGGATACGTCTGCCACTTAATTACCGCTCAGGGCAGTTAACTCAAGTAGAGACAAGGCTTAAAATTAATAAGAGCAAAATACAGAGCACAAAGTTCCAAAGTAGTTTGTACTATAAAGTGAACTAGACCCAAATGAATAACCTGAGTAATGTTTTACTAGAAATTTGATCTCTGAGAAGTTAGGAAATAAAAGTGGCTTTTCAAAGGAGCAATAGAGTAATAAGGTGAGAGTCTACCTGGAGTAACACTTTCTTCAGAATTATCTATACTTTTGGATGGGCCAGGATTGCTTAAATGAGTCTGTGATTTTTAAAAAAATAGTGATGTCTTCTCAGTAGACTACCTCAGTTCATATTTGACTCTAGGACATGTGAGCTGATGTATTGGATCATGTTACTTTAGAGGTGCAAACTCTTTATCATAGGCCTACGTTTCAATGGATGGTTATGATAGTTATCACCATAATCCACATCTTAAAAGTCTGCTGTATGAGCTGATGATGTAAAATTGCATGTGTGTGTGAGTTCTCATAATTTCCCTTTTGATCTTTAGGTTGGATGAAGCTAACTTACCAAAGGAAATAAATCTGGTAGATGATTACTTTGAACTTGTTCAGCATGAGTACAAGAAGTGGCAGGAGAACAACCAGCAGGGACGGAGAGAGATGCACGTTCAGAATCCTCTAGAACCTTCCATGCCCCAGCTTTCTCTCATGGACGTAAAATGTGAAACGCCCAACTGTCCTTTCTTCATGTCCGTGAATACCCAGCCTTTATGCCATGAATGCTCGGAGAGGTGGCAAAAAAATAAAAATAAACCCCCAAAGCTGAACTGTAAGCTGGGCCCTGAGGCACCCCCTGGCATGGCACTCGGGGCCTCCCGGGGTGAGGCCTGTGAACCCTTGGTCTGGACCCCTGAGGAGCCAGCTGGGGGGCCTCACTCAGCCCCACCAACCGCACCCAGCCTTTTCCTATTCAGCGAGACCACCGCCATGAAGTGCAGGAGCCCTGGCTGCCCATTCACACTGAATGTGCAGCACAATGGATTTTGTGAGCGTTGCCACAATGCCCAGCAACTTAACACCAGCCGCAATGTGGACCCCAAGAGGCATTTAGATGCTGGTAAGTGCCGAGCTTGCCTCCAGGATGCCACCAGGACGTTTAATGGAATCTGCAGTACTTGCTTCAAAAGGACTACGACAGAGCCCTCCTCTAGCCTCGGCCCTAGTGCCCTTCCTTCCTGTCATCAGCGATCCAAGTCGGATCCTTCCCAGCTCACCCAGAGCCTCTCCCCGCATTCTTGCCACAGAGCTGGAGGCGAGGCCCCATCAGGCTGCCTCTCCCAGGCTGCACGGACTCCTGAGGACAGGACAGGCACCAGCAAGTGCAGAAAAGCCGGCTGCATGTATTTTGGGACTCCAGAAAACAAGGGCTTCTGCACGTTGTGTTTCATCGAGTACAGTGAAAACAAACGTGAGTGAAATGCTTGGATCTCCTAACGCAGCAGCTACTGACCAGAAGGGGTTTTGTTCCTAAACTTGGAGAGAAGGAGCCCACTGGGGCAGCTGTAGGGTAGTTAGATCTGCCTGTGCTTCTCCACCAGCTGTGACACGTGGAGTCATCACAATGGCTCTGACAGCCACCCACATGTGGATGAAAAGGCTCTGAGCGATTGCGGCAGCTCTTAGAAAACCGTCATCAAAAAACCAGACGCACCCTGTAGGGAGAGTTAATGGAACCTGTGTGTAAAGGTCACTCAGTGCTTGGCATTTATAACAGAGAGTCTAAATTAGACTTCTGAAAGTTGGTATGGTAGAGAGATCTCCAAATCTGAAGAGCAGTAGCTGGGGAGAGGGGAGTCTTCACTGACATTGGAAGAACACAGCTGTGTGTTTAGAAATCTCTAATTCAAAAGAGGGATGGGCAGTTAATGTCTGCTGTTGGTTTTGTTACTGACTGATCAGCAATGTGTGTCCAAAAGTGAGGGATTTGTGAAGCCAAAGATGTTTCAAAAATGGCATTTTTTTTTTATTTTGTTGAATTTATAAAATGCTGGTCTCATGTATATATTAAGACTGGCCTAATCTATAGTTGGAGTCCCTGGGTGGTGCAAACAGTTAAACGCTCAACTACTAACCAAAAGGTTGGTGGTTCGAACCTACCCAGAGGCACCTCAGAAGAAAGGCCTGGTGATCACTTCTGAAGTGTCACAGCCTGGAAAACCCTATGGAGCAGAGTTCTACTCTGACACACATGGGGTTGCCATGAGTTGGAATCAGCTTGATGGCAACTGTTTTTTAAATCTGTATTTGGAACCCATTTATTTCTCTAATGTCAGCATCTCTGTATCTATGTGGTGACCCCTGTGTGGTACTTATGAGCATCAGTTCTGTTCTAGATTTTGTTGCTGCCTCGGGGAAGGCCAATCCCACAGCCTCCAGGTTCCAGAACACAGTTCCCTGCCTGGGGAGAGAATGTGGCACCCTCGGAAGCACGATGTTCGAAGGATACTGCCAGAAGTGTTTCATCGAAGCTCAGAATCAGAGATTTCATGAAGCAAAAAGGACTGAAGAGCAACTGGTGAGACATTTAGAGGTCCTCCCCTCTTGCGTGTGCCAGGTCCTCCTTGCTGGGGTGATGCTTTTCTGCCTTTGTAAGCAGACTTCCTCTCTGCTGAGTTTGAGGCCACGAAGTCCACATCCCGTGGCTCCCAGAGGTAGAAGTGCAGCTACTGTAGATCACCATGGCCAAAGTTTACTGTGTGATTCATTTCAAAAAGCCCAAAAATCTACCATAGAATAAAATCTCTTAAAGCCTCCAGAATGCCAGATGACAGTCAGAGATGTCTTTGACTTCTAGTAGATAAGCATAGACATCTCAATGGCCAATGAGTTTCCTTAAATACACACTCCTGTGCCATGAGGGAAGTCCCTGGATGGTGCAAACAGTTAAGCATGTGGCTACCAGCCGAACGTTGGTGGTTCTTATCCACTCAGAGGTGCCACAGAAGAAAGCCCGGTGAACCTCTTCAGAAAGGTCACAGCCATTGAAAACCCTATGAAACATAGTACTACTCTGACACACATAGGGTTGCCATGAGTCAGAATCAACTTGACGGCAACTGGTTTGGTTTGTCGGTTTTCGTCAGGAGATAGAAGACGGCAGAACACCCCAGGTGCCTGCACTCTGTTGTGTAAGAAAAGCAAACTTCTGGCTGGTAAATGCTCCTCATGTTGCTTGCTGAATGGTTTAAGAAAGTTGTCTAAAAAAAGAGCGGCTTATTTTTAGTTAAAAAAAAAACAAGCTGGGCCAAGTTTTCAGATGGATGGTCCCACTCGGCCTCCCTAGGGCTCCTGGCTTTCCTTGGGGGTTGGGAGGGCACTTCTGTTCATAGGCTGCACATGTCCTCTTGTCTCCTGGGTCACGTAGGTGTTGTTTTTCCTAAAAAGCTATTTGTAGAATCCACACTGTCCAGTGAAATCTCATATGCTCTCCCTGAGAAATGTGAGTCACCATTCTCTGTGTTTGCCCCACGCAGAGGTCAAGCCAACGTCGAGATGTGGCACGCACCACCCAGAGCTCTTCCAGGCCCAAGTGTGCCCGGGCCTCCTGCAAGAACATTCTGGCCTGCCGCAATGAGGAACTCTGCATGGAATGCCAGCACCTCAGCCAGCGAGTGGCCCCGGCACCCCTCCGTGGGGAGCCTGCTCCCGAGGAGCCCCCCAAGCAGCGCTGCCGGGCCCCTGCCTGCGAGCACTTCGGCAACACCAAGTGCAGCGGCTACTGCAACGAGTGCTTTCAGTTTAAGCAGATGTATGGCTAAGCAGACACAGGTGCGCCAGCCCCAGCCAAGAGGGGCTGAGAGCCGTTCACCTACATGGTGCTATACTCTCAACACTCTGATGCCACTGGAGAGTCAGTTCCTGGCCACAGTGGGCTCGAGGTTGCCTTTGAGCAGGGAAAGGAAACATAAGCTCTTCTTTGCGGTTGTGATGCTCAGGTTTGGTAACCTGGCTGGCAAAATTCCTATCTCGCCGTAAAGTTCAGATAGTGTCAAGAGTCAGCCCAGGGCTGCTGCTCCTCTTCTACTGAGCAGAAGGCCAGGAACTTTTATGGACTTGGAACAAGTGCCAGGACTGGCCATCACCCTGCATCCTGCCTACCAGGACAGCAGTGTCATCTCGAGAAAGAGAAAAGACACACAGGCAGGTCGGGAAACAGCTGAGTCCTCAGGGCACCAAGGCCCTTCGCGAGAAGCTCAAGGAAGCTCAGGGAAAATGGACATACTCAGAGAGTGTCAGTAGTTAATGGTTTTCCCCTTTCTGCCTGGTTCCTTTCCTCTGGACATGGCAAAAGCAAAACTGTCCACAGACTGTGATTCTGAGGCTGCTGAGACTGAATAAGTCCACACTGAAAAGCAAAGAACAAGCTGCTCTTACAATATGCACCTTCTAAAGAACAGAATATTTTAATTGACAGATGGGTACCTCTTTTGGCTATCACTGCCATCACTTTTAAAGAGGTTAGCTTGACCTGAGGTGTGCATAGACATGTGTACAAATATAGAATATACCCTTATATTATGTATGAGGGGATTTTTTTTTTATTTTGTTGAAATGCTGCCCTATCAAAAACGATATTTTAATATTTTGTGTGTTATCAATATTTTCATTCTTAATGTGAAAAATGGAATTATTTATACTTATTATAGAAAATATTTGAATTTGCACATTTAGTTATCCTCAATAGAATACCTTTTACTCTTCTTCGGATTTCTTGAAGTTTACCTAAGTAAATGTAACTTTTCACAAAAGTCAATATTAAAAAATAAATTATTTAAGAACAAATCTTGATGTTTTGTGTTTGTAAATGATGGAAGAAAAAGATAGGCCCAAATATTAAGACTGTGCTTCCCAAACCCCGCCCCCTTTTTTTTCTTTAAATTTTATTTATTTTGTTGTTGAGAATATACACAGCCAAACATACACCAATTCAACAGTTTCTATATGTACCATTAAGGGACATTGATTATATGCTTTGAGTTATGCAATCTTCTCACCCTCCTTTTCTGAGTTGTTCCTCCCTAATTAACATAAACCAACTGCCCCCTAAGGTTCCTTTCTAATTTGTAGAGTTGCTGTTGTCAGTTTAATCCCATATAGATAGTTCTTAAAAAAGCATAATGCTCAAGGCAGATCGTTTTTTTTACTAGTTAAGCTATTGTTCGGTTTTGAGAAGACCTCAGGATATTTTTGGTTCAGGGTTCAAAGATTATCTCAGGGCAATAGTTTCAGGGGTTCGTCCACCCTCCATGGCTCCAGAAAGTCTAGAATCTATGACAATTTTAAATTCTGTTCTACATTTTCCCCCTTTTGACCAGGATTCTTATATGGAATCTTTGATCAAAATGGTCAGTAATGATAGTCAGACACCATCCAGTTCTTCTGATTTCATGGCAAAGGAAGCAGTTGTTCTTGGAGGCAATTAGCCATACATTCCATATCTTCCTCCTCCAAAGCACTTTGTTTTGATGTACACCTATGCAATGGATACATCTCTCACCCAGGAGTAGTAAGATGTTTTTAAAAATAATAACTGCTTGAGGGTAGGGGCATGTACTCAAGTACAAGGCTCTGGTTTAACAGTGAGGACCGAGGCTCACATGGGAGTGTGAAAGGCTTATTCGTACCTGCACCCAATGGGGTGTTAGGGCCATATACACCTTTACAGAGTCCCTGGGTGATGCAAATAGTTAACACACTCACTGCCAACGTCCAAATCCACCTAGAGGCTTGGTGATCTACTTCCAAAACAGCCATTGAAAACCCTATGGAGCGCAGTTCATCTCTGACATACGTGGAATCGCCATGAGGTAGAGATGACTCAATGGCATCTGGGTTTTTTTAGTGCTCCTCTGCAGTTTCCTACTCTCAGCCTTAATAAAGCTGGGAAAGGGAGAACAAGATGGAGGAGGTGAGAGAAAGGAAAGAATAGGAAAGGAGGAATAAAGACTAGTATAAGAGTTCTGGGCTGGACACGTTAGAAGGGGTGGCATATGGCTGTGATGGCTACCAGGAGTGGTTGCATCAGTGTCCTGGGAAATGATGAAATAACATTCTTCCACCAGCAAGCCCTCACCCAAATATGCTCACAGGACTGATTCCGGAGTACTGTGGCAGATTCAGAATCTTTGTTTAAGCTCCCAGATGATTCTGATGATCAGTCAGATTTTAGAACCACACTTATTTTTTAAATTATAATTTTTTAACCTTATTGTGGAAAATTTTGAACCTACAGAAAAATAAAGAATAGTGTATAAACTCCCATGTAGCCATCATCCAGTTTCCACAATTAACAACATTTTGCCAAATTTGTCTCACCTCTCAGCTTCTTTTTATTTTATTTCTTTGCTGGAATATCTTATTTTATTTTGCCATTTTAACCATTTTAAGTGTACATTTCACTGGCAGTAATTGCATTCACAGTGCTGTTCAACCATCACCAAAACGTTTTCGTCGTCCCACACAGAAACTCTGTACCCATTAAACAATAACTCCCATGCCTATTAGGTTTTGTACTGCAGTCCCCTGGCCTCTTATTCCACCCCCTACTAAAGTCCTAAATAAGTACTTGCAGGTCAGCATGGAGTACCTCCAATAATAATTTTTGTTTGAGCTAACAGAACCTGCCTAGCTGGGGCTTGTGCAAGAGCTGAACTGGCCCTCGTGAGATTATGGTCAACTTGGACATCGGCAAAACTTATGCATTCATCTTGGAGTCATCTGCACAGACCCTTTGGACAGAGGTGAAAGCTCTCTCATCAAATCCTCTCCCTAATATTTTTATTTTTTATTTTTTAATTTTTCTTTATTGTACTTTAGATGAAGGTTTACAGAACAAATAGTTTCTCATTAAACAGTCAGTACACATATTGTTTTATG